ATGATATGAACTTCATCATCATTGTCATCATCATCATGTTGAGACTGCTGAACTTAACTTTGATTGTGAAAGAGAATAAATTATTTAATTTAATCAATTGTACAAACACAAAACTAAATGACAACAGTACCTTCAAGGATTTCCTGAGCAGCATTCTGATCAAGACCACCACTCATCTGCTCATTATTGCTGTCTGATGTTTGTAGTTTCCATCTATTCTTTGTAATTAACGGAATGACTAAATCTACTTTTTTTTCAGCCGGTTTAATACTGTAAAAGAGCATAGAATCAATTAATAGGATTTATTAATAGTTCTTCTTTTGCAGATAATTTTTAGTGAGACATGCGGATAAATAATCTTCATCTGAGCATGTCGAAGTTGATCAGTTTTGATCACTAAACGCACTATGACAGTTATGACAGTTTCATTTTTGTATCTCGTATTTGTAATAAAGGCTATTATTTACTAGTGGGATATTTAAAATTAGGGCACCAAATCATGTTATGATAATTTGTCTCTGAGAGAATCCGCTGGTGAAGGCCTAATAACTACGATACTCACACTCTCACTCCTGCTACACCAATACAATATTCTTTGTGAGAGGTACGTACACTCAATGTGCACTGTAGTACAGCCAATGACAATGCATTAAGTTTTTTCCTGGGTCACAGTTGAATTTGTTTGAGGTTTGATTTATTGAATTTTAAATAGACATGGGCCTAGGCGGTCATACTCTTAGCATAATTACGAACATTCTTGTCTATGTAAATTGACAGGTGTTTTAACTCCATTTCGAATTAACACACTTCCCCCTCCCCCACACCCTTGAGGGCTGAGAATCACAAAAATTGGATCAATACGATTCGTTTAACACTCCCAGATGCAAGTATACCACAAGACTTTGACCAGAATCATGACTATAATGGTACCGGTAGTGAGTGTGTGTGGTGAACTGGTCATAATCTAGTGGTATACTCTACTCCAGGGTGGTTATTCCTATTTAATATATTATTATACCAACTTCATTTTAAAGGTAATTCAACAGCAATCCAACAGCAATCTGACAGTAATTCAATAGCAATCTGTCGGCCGTTGCTGCACTGATACGATTTAACACGCAAATGTAGACACATACATCAAAATGAACTCTAAATTAAAGCTATCATGGAAAGCTTTTGAAATGTTGATCGCCATGAGTGATATAACCAATGTTACCATCTATTACTTTCTATTCTTAGATGTACAGGTAAAACGCTCAAGTGAATGTTGTAGAGTTCCTGAGTGTGCCTGTAAAGTCATTCAATAATTGACTATCAGGAACTGGGTAAGAGTGCCTTGGGGCCCCTCTCTCACCCATAACTCTAATCCTAACCCTGTACCTCCAGTGTCCCTCCCTCATTTCAATTGTATATACCTGTCTTCAAGTCACATGTAGTTATTTGGAGGATTTCTCTATGAGCGGGAGGGGGGGGGTATCGAGGTCACGACTCGGTTAGCCTTGCTCAACTGGTTCGTAACCAGTCTTGTGATTGGTTGTTGACAAATGCTGATCAGGCCACGCCTCCAACGGTGTCATGCGTTCGGACTAACCGTTAGGAATTCCTAAATGGAGTCAATTTGTGTAGTTTTCTTGATTTATTCTGCAGATATCGGTAAAATGTAGGTAAGGCTTTGGCGAAATTCGAAGGAGCAACTAATATTCTTCAACCTGGTATTTTTTTTAGATTTTATTTTTTTCGTCTGTTTTTGTGAGTTTAAAAAATGTGAGCTGCCTGGAGCCTTCATCTCTTGTCTATTTCTTACACTAGATACCAGCCGATACCCCCCCCCCCCCAGCTCATAGAGACTGCGTATTACAGTTGATTATAGTTCCTGGGCTCCCTGTGGTACTACAAGTAAACAAATGATTGTCTAGTATGTTCAAATGTGTCTATATCCAGGCTTTCAGACAATATACTAGTATATGGCAAATGAAGGTTTGGAATAGAAGAACAGACAGACAATCAAACATTGAACTAAGTCTGCTTTCAAAGTACTCCATAGGGCCACTGATCGGAGTATGTTTTTCGAGGATTTGAAGACTGGTGGAACGTAGTACCAACGTAGTATTCAGACATGAAGAGGACCGATAACAATGTCAGTTGACTTACTTACCTTTGTACTTCTCTGTGTTCCAACGATAGAACAAAATCTGTATCTTCTTTTCGTCTCTCGCCATCCTCGTTTATTATACTGACTTTTTCAAGGTGTGCCTTTTCTTTCTTTTTAGAAAAACCGAAAGATACCATCCTTCTTTCAGGATCTTGGTTGCACTCCGTCTGCTCATCGGCCATGTTTTTTGCAATGCATGACGGTTACGAGCGCCATCTGTGGTGATACAACACAAACCGAGAAATAAAATAAAAAAAACAGGTATGGTATACAATGTTGTCTATAAAATAATATTTATCACACACTCACATGAATAAAATTATAAAAAGTTAAAATTAAAACATTATTTAATATTCCAGTCTCAGTATTTGTTTTATTTGGAAGTGAAAAAAGTTCAAAAATAAGAATTTGTTTCGTTTTTGTCCTGATTCTGCCGTTTTTCGCAGTTACAGTAGCCCCTTTTGGGCCTTTTTGCTCACAACTTAACCCAATATATCCAATTACTGTTCTTTACGTAATGCTATCTGTGTCACTCGTCATGAAAAAAAATACTCAAATAAGTTCATGGCAACAATCTCTTTGTTAATTAACGCCAATTCATCAATTAAAATTACATCAAAAAGCAAAATGCTAGATTCCTGAAAAATATTAGAAATTCACCTGGCCGTCATTAGCCACAGGCCAACTTGCTCTTTCTATATAATGATTTGACGGTGCTGCATTTGATAAATTTAGTTTTTCAGTAATTGTGTAATTTTCGTTCATTATTTCTCGTTTTGATTCATAAAGCCATGTATCATGGATTTTAAATTGGGAAACGATATAATAAAGTGGAATTCATCTTCTATACCTACTTTATCACATAATCCGCAAATCGTGTTTTCAGTTGGAGTTTTCGATTTCGTTTGTCTAACTGTTTCAACCTTCAAATAATAGTCGCCTAATCAAAATCTGTCGTTTAATTGGTCACGTAATTCAATTCATATTTTTTTTTTATTTTCTATTGCCATTAGTTATTTCTGTTTCTCCATATATTATTTATGTGTGAGCACAGTCACTTGTACGGAAGCGTATTAGTGCCATACTCTTAACAAAATAATAAAAAAATCTCGTTATAACGAGTTTATTTTTCTCGTTATAACGAGTTTT